CCAGAGAGGCAGAGCGTGGCGCGTGGCGTTGAAACACAAAAAGGCAGAAAGCACTTACGTGCTTGCATGTAACCGCTCTCTTGTCCGTCTGTGTTGTCCGAATAATGAGGTGAGCTAGAGGTCTGAAATTTTTAGGGCATCTATAGGGTCACTTCTGGACACAGAAACGCATGGTGCAAATCCTAGCTTTTACCCCTGTCACGGTTCCGCACTGTAACACTCTTAGATCTACGGAGTCTTAAAGGGCCAAAGGCCTGGCCGGAAGCCAAAATTTTTACAAATATAATCAGTAACTTAAAGGTCCGGCCGAAGGCCCTAAAAAGCCGCCGTCAGGCCAAGCCTGCCCGGTCCCTGCCGAACGGTTTGCCGCGAAGTGAAAGCTGGCAACTCCGCTTGGAGGAAGGGTTGGCCTGCTAGTTTTTTAATGCAGAAAGGTGGGGTTTAGTCACGGTGCAACACATTTTTTGCTTGCGGGTAAGGAGCAAAACTTGCCGGGCCGCAATCATGAACCGCTTTAGCAAAGTTACGGGCTTTGACGGTATATTCATAATCTGAACTGATAGGTTATGCTGCCATCCTGAAAACGTATTCCGTGCACGGCGTTGTAGCCTTATTTTCTTAAAACTCACGTGTACTGGAGATTAATAGACATGTGCGCCGTGGCGCCCGTGGTCCCACAAGTGCCGCTGCTGGCGTCCGCCAGGCCTTGGCAATGATGGGCCTGGAAGGCGCTCTCCTCCCACGCTGACTCGGCCAGCAGCTTGATGCAGCGCTGGTGACTGCAGCCCGGGTCTAGCAGCCCGCAGCCAGGTTGCGGGTGCCGACCACCGTTCGGGTAGAAGTCGATGTCCCCAATGGCGTCCTCCAAGCCGGCCAGCCCCGCGCACGTGTGCACCACATCAACGACGACTGCGTCACCACGGCCAAGCCGATCACCTTTGAGCACCAGAAACAGCGGCATTGCCGGGTCCAGTCCTAAGGCCGTAAAGAACATAATTATCAGAGGGTTACATCTTTGATCCCTTATCATTGGTTTCCCAATACGCCTCGAAGTTAGTATTCGGAACATATGCACGGTAATAACAAAGTATAATTTTTTGACAGAAAAGGGAAAAACTTTTGGAACAGGATGACCATCAAAGTAAGTCACAAATTTTGAGGGAGTTCCAGAAAGCTGGCGCAGCCAACATGATGAGCTGCTACGCGCACCTCGGTACTTAAGCGCTTTGTAACAACATATGAAATTGTCAGTTGGTCAAACTAAATGTATTTCTCTTAGTTTTAGAGCTATGGAACTCATCCTGCGAAGTTTGATTTGAGTGCGATGAAACGAAACTGACTTTTTGAATGGTTTACGTGCACGTCTTCAAGCAAAGTTTTCACTTTCCCTTGTAAATCCTGCACAGGTTAGGTAGCTAGGCCCGGAGCGCCCAAACGGTGTGAGATAGAGCCGAACGAACGGACAAAATTTTAGTCCGAAGACTTGTCACTCACAAAAATGTTTTCTTGCCGTAGTCCCAAAAATATTTTTGACTTAATTTTACTTGGGATAAGTATAGTTTTCTCGCGTGAAGACGATTTTCTCGTTCGAAGAAACATGGTTTTCTTCCCACGAGAAGAAAAAATTCTTGATACATTCTACTTAACCCAAGAAAATAATATGCTTGGGCGAAGGAACATGTAACTGGGCCAGGCGGGCGTGGGTGGAGGGGGGACGGATGGATTAGGGGTTAGGGTGGAGCGCGCGAGAGGACCGGGCTACCTGAGGTACAAAGGCAGCGCTGGGGACACGGTCACGTATGTGGCTTCATAGCTCAAACGGTAACTGCTTACGCTCTCGCGCTGAGTTGACACGAACAGGGCTCGAATCCCGGCAGTACCAATTGAAGGCGTAACTTGCATTAAGGAGAATCGAACCAGCTATCACTACCGTCAAAACCCGCTGTGAGACAGAGTTCAAGACTGACTCCGGGGGCACTATTTAACTTATTACAGCCAAGACTTAATATTCTTGGGATAGGAAAATAGTTCTTGAAGTGAGATTTTTATGGAGGATTGACACAAGAAAAAAATGTTCCTGGGCCAAGAAAACAAATGTTTGTAGGACCGACAAGAAGAAATTATTCTTGGCCCAAGTAGATTTTGGTTGCGGCAAGAAAACATTTTTACGAGTGTTCTTTCACGAGTTACCCAGTAGAATACCAACAAGGAGGCCTGCCCTTCCGCCAAACGGAGTTGCTAGCTCCACTTCGCTGCGCCGGCAACTCCGTTCGGCAAAGGCCGGGCCTGCTTGGCCTGCCGGCGGCGATGGTCGGCCCGACCATTTCAT